TTCAGCTCGGTACCCTTCTTCTTCTTTTTTTTTTCTTCTTTCATACTTCTCATTTTTCCTTTTTTTTCCTTCAATTCGTATTATTTTTTTCGTTCCAAACACTTTTTTCTCCGTTTTTCCCTCCATTTTCGAAACCAATTATTTTCGGCTTTACTCTTTTTTTTGCTTTCTTCAGGTCTTTTCTCATTCTTTTTTTTGAATACTTGAGAATTTTTGTTTTAGAGCATTTTTCAGATTTCCAGAGTTTTCTAGAAACTCATGGATCCTAAAGATTCGAAAAACTCCAAAACCATCATTTCGGAAAAAAATCCACAACTTCAGAAATTGTATAACTGAGACAGTCTTTCAGAAAATTCACAGTTAGAAGTTTCAGATATTTAGAATTTTTGGGAAATTCAGGGATCCTGAAAATCGGAAATCCTGAAATTTCAAAAAAAAAATATCGAGAATCAACATTTCCAAAATTTCCGATTTTTCAGAATCTCAAAATTTCAGTATCTCAGAAAAAATTTCAGAATCTCAGAATCTCAGAATCTCAGAATCTTAGAATTTCAGAATCTCAGAATCTCAGAATTTCAAAATCTCAGATACTCAGAATCTCAGAATCTCAGAATATTAGAATTTCAGAATCTCAGAATCTCAGAATCTCAGAATCTCAGAATCTCAGAACCTCAAAATCTTAGAATCTCAGAATTTCAGAATCTCAGAATCTTAGAATCTCAGAATTTCAGAATCTCAGAATCTCAGAAACTCAGAATCTCAGAATTTCAGAATCTCAGAATCTTAGAATCTCAGAATTTCAGAATCTCAGAATCTCAGAAACTCAGAATCTCAGAATTTCAGAATCTCAGAATCTCAGTATCTCAGAATCTCAGAATCTCAGAATTTCAGAATCTCAGAATCTTAGAATCTCAGAATTTCAGAATCTCAGAATCTCAGAAACTCAGAATCTCAGAATTTCAGAATCTTAGAATCTCAGAATTTCAGAATCTCAGAATCTCAGAATCTCAGAATCTCAGAATCTCAGAATCTCAGAATCTCAGAATCTCAGAATCTCAGAATCTCAGGATCTCAGAATCTCAGAATTTCCGATTCTCAGAATCTCAGAATCTCCGAATCTCAGAATCTCAGAATCTCAGAATCTCAGAATCTCAGAATTCCAGAATCTCAGAATCTCAGAATCTCAGAATCTCAGAATCTCAGAATCTCAGAATCTCAGAATCTCAGAATCTCAGAATCTCAGAATCTCAGAATCTCAGAATCTCAGAATCTCAGAATCTTAAAATCCATTCTGAAATTCTGAATTTCTGAGTTTGACCAACTAGGTATTCCAATTCTCCTCCCTATTTCAATTTCCCTCTTCCTACTAGGTCCGCAAAATTAATAAAAAGTCTAATCAAGCGTATAAAGACCACCCGAAGAAAACTTGCTCTTCCAATTTCCCTTCAAAACGGAATAAGAAGAAGAATAAGAAGAAGAGAAAAGAAGATGAATGAAAAGTAGAGAGGGGGAAAGGAAAGGAAAAGGAAGACGAAGTGGTCCACAAAGGATTCCTTCTTCTTTTTCTTCTTATTCACCCCAGATAGAAGTCCTAACGTCTTCTTCTTCTTCTCCCCCTCAAATCATGCCACCATTGCAAATGAGGCGTTTCGAACAAGTGCCGATTCTTCCTTTTTGAATTTTGGCATCTTTCTAATGCGAAAACTTTGAAAAACCCCTTTCTAACCATACTTGTGAAATTTCGGCCCGGCGGCCCGGCCCGGCTCGAAGAAAAAAAAACACTGAATACCTTTTTTCGAAACAATGATTCAACTTTTCGCTCAAGATTTTGAAGTTCGCGGTAAACTTCCGGGCCGACCGGGCCGGGCCGACCGGGCCTCCGGGCCGGGCCGGTGAAATTCGTGTTTCGGCCCGGCCCGGCCCGGCCCTTCACAAGTATGTTTCTAACCCTTCCACAGGGCCTGGATAACAAACAAAAAGGAATTTCCATAGAGAGGAATTGAACCCCTGGCCTGTCGCATACCGTCCCTCCCTCTTCTTCCCTACACCACACCTTGCACCTAGCTACACGTCTCGTAGTGCGTATAGGAAGCGGGAGCGGCGCTGGCGTTTGAAGGCCCCGGTTTTGGTATTCTTGGTGCCCTTTTTTCAAGTCATAACTCATAAATCAAAAATTCATGAGGTTTGGACCCGGAAGCTTTTTCGGTTTATGATTCTTTTTTTTGGGATTCGATGTTGTCCGCAATGCGTACAATACCCAACATCTTACGACACTTCTCTGAAATTTGGAATTCCGGGGTAAAAAAGCATGAGAAATTTGAATTTTTAGCTTAAAATTCACCTGATTTATGTTGAAACTTTAAAAAATTGACTTAAAAACTAATTTGAAAAAATATTGAAATTTGAAAATCCGCAATGCGTACAATACCCAACATCTTACGACACTTTTCTGAAATTTGAATTTCTGAGATTCCAAAAATTCCAAAATTCCTATTCTTGCCCCACCCCATTTATGCAAATCACCCAAGTGCCCCCCGAAAAAACGTTTCTGCGTTTCTAGAATCCCCTATACTCTCTCACCCTGCAAGTTTTAAGCCACGCCCCCTTCTCTTGTTGTTTGTATGCAAGAAAGGAATGGAGAAAGGTCCTAAAGTTTCTGGAAGAATTTTTTCTATTGAAAAAAAGTTTTTGGCGGGAAATTTGAACCTTTTGTTCTCTGTTTTTCACATCCCTCAAAATCGGTTCTGGTCGGGTGAGCCAGAATGTTTTTGACCCAATTTTTGTTTTTTTTTGAGCAGCACCCCGTTTTTTGCGACAAATAGACACGCAAATAGTGTCAAGAAGCCAGAAAAAAATGAGCAAGAGAAACAACAAAAAATCTGGTTTCTATTCTTTTTTTAGCTTTTTTTCTCACTGGAATTATTTATGAAAAAGTTTAAAATTGACCATAAACCTCATTTTTCGGTATTAAGACACTAAAATATGTAATTCCCGCGCTTTTTTACCCTAGAATTTGAATTTCTTAGAAATTGTCGTGAGATATTGTGTATTGNCNNCNTCTTTTTTTTTCGATTTAAGAACTAGAAGAGGCAAAGATAGTTGAAATTTTGGAAAAAAAATTGGGGAAAACATCATATTTTTCGAAAAATTTCCAGAAAACTTCTTATAAAAACTGAAAAAATATAGGCAAAAAAGCTAAAAAATTGATTATTTTT